TCGTTTGTCTGTAACGCTGTTAGGGTGTTAGTCTTTATTTGGCTGTTACGCTGTTAGTCTGTTACACTATTAGGCTGTTACTCTGTTACGCTGTTACGCTGCTAGGCTGTTACGCTGTTAGGCTGTTACGCTGTTGGGCTGTTACGCTGTTAGGCTGTTACGCTGAGCGGGCGGTGCAGTGTATGAGCGTGCGGTGCAGCGTATGTGCGTGCGGCGCATTGTATGTGCATGCGGTGCAGTGTACGTGTGTGCGGTGCAGTGAAAGGGGCTGAGTCCCGTTTGGTGGGTGAGTGTTAGTGAAAGGGGCTGAATCCCCTTGGGTGGGTGAGTGCAGGGCTGGTGCTCATGGGCTGGTGCTCGTGGGCTGGTGCTCTTGGGCTCGTGCTCTTCAACGCCATAGCCAGGTTGTGCTAATCATGGCAGCATGCCCGTTCATGGCAGCATGCCCATTCATGGCAGCATGCCCGTTCATGGCAGCGTGTGCATGCTTGTGTACCTCCCCGTGCATCAGCAAATTGAGGACAGCCGGTACTCTTAGGTGCAACCCATGGTGATCTCAATGTCTGCCAGAGTGAGATTTGGACTTTCAGATGTTACTCATAGCGACATTGAAACCAATAGTTCATGAGCATTTTATTTACAAGTTGAAACATTAATTACCTATGGTTCTTGTTGCATTGTGCCACATTGCATTCAACCTCAACCTGATCTGATTAATTGTAGATTGTGGCTTTATACCTTTTGGATAAGTAGTTTGTATCTATCTGGCTGGACTGGTTTTAAGAACACTGTAGATGCTCTTCTTCAATCTTCACCGTTCCTAACCCACTGCGAAGCGGGTACGGTATGTCTCGGCATCGCCATCTCCTTCGAATGACGAAATCTCGCTTCGCTTTATGCTGTCCTCATTTTCGGGAAAAAATATAGTGGTAACTAATTTCCAGCTCCTATTTACCTGCTCTGGGTAAGGCCTTAGGCTTGTAACTGACGCAATGGGAGTCAGGGTCGCAGAAGTTCTGTGCGGTGCGGCTCTGTCCCAACGGTCTTGTTCTGCATCGTTAGGATCTGAAAGCGGAGCAGCGCGTGAGGCGTTATGCCGAGCCGATCCCTCACAGCGACCTCACGCGACGGCAGCCACCGACGCATATCGGCATCGCGCATGCGTCGCACGGAGCCACGCCGTCGACGATCCATACCTGATAGTCAGTGCGCGACGGAAACATGATTCACATCGAGGCCTTGAGAGTGCATCGAGCAGCTCTCGAAGCAGCATCAGTAACACAGCGTCGAGCCGGATACCGTTTCTTGGAACTGGTTACCAGATTGCTGGTTACAGCGGTACTGTTTCGAGCAGCAGTGGCGGCAGAGAGTGGAGGAGAGCGAGAAGAGGCGTGATCACCGCAGCTGCTGCATCGTCTGGCAGATCTTCAGCCGACGACGGCTCTAATTTAAGATCGCTCGTTCAAGCAACGCTTGATTTTATCCAGGTGCGCTTGTAGGGGGACGGAGAGGAAGCGAGGCGTGATTCCACTGAGCGCAATGCACAACATCCCTTCCCCATTTCCCTCTCTCCCTGCGCCACACTCAGGGCCAGATGCAACTCATGCCTTGACCCTCTACATTCTTCTCCTGGTGCTCGTATCGGTCGGGGGTTTCCCTCCAATCGTCACTATCACCTCCCCATGCTCGCCCCTCTGCGACAACGCAACCCATCACACTCTCCACTTGCTCAGCGTCTCTGGCAAACGAAACGTGTGACAGCGGGTCTTTCTGAAGGCGTTGCTGCTGCTGGCAGGCCCCGTCCTTTGCTGTATCCTCCCCAAGCTCACCCCCTTGCCTCAAAACAACATACTCCCATCCCTCTCCCCGTTTCCTCCTGACCTCTACTCTCCCTGCGTTCACCCTCTGCCTCAACCCATCCCTCTCCCCTTCCCCAATCCCCACGTCCCACCCTCCCCCCCTCGCAGCGTCGCTGGCGGAACGTGAGGAGGCGGGTGTTTGTGAAGGTGCTGGTGCTGCTGGCGGGGTTCTTCTCAGCCAATGCGCTCTCCACCATCGTGGGGCAGACGGGTGACTGGGACGTGCTCGTTGCTGGCTCCCTCGTCGCCTCCCTGGAGCTCCTCGGCGCCTGCCTCTACCGCCTCCGCCTGCGCGCCGCTTCCGCTGCTGCTGCCGACGTCGCGAAACTTGCAGCCAAGAGCGCAGCAGCTGCTGCTGCTGCAGGAGGAAGAGGAGGACGAGGAGAGGGGAGGGTGGGAGCAGGAGAAGGGGTAGCAGCTGGGGTGACAGGGTCAGGTGGAGATGTGGAGGGTGATGAGGGGGTGGAGAAAGGGGAGGGTGCATTGGTCGATGCTGTGGCATTGGTTAATTTCTGGAAAGCAGGGATTATTTTGGGCCTGTTTGTGGATGCTTTCAAGGTGGGCAGCTGAGGGAGTTGAGAATGATTAAATTTAGCTGTTGGGATATTGTAATCTTATGTTTTCAGCAGTTTTGTTCAAATTAGTGAAGTGCAGCAGTTTTAGCTGGTGGGAAATCAAAGTGACTTTAGTCACTCCTATTAATGCACAATGAATTGGGGATACAAAGAACGAATACATTAGGCATCTTAATGAAAAATAAATCATGGGCGCAAGGCCAGCCATGATAAAAAAAGAACACAAATTGGAGCTAAGAAGTCTAAGGAGGGCGGCATCCTGGAATGGCAGTTAACCGCGCCTCACAGAGCAGAACCTTAGCCCTAACCCTGCTTATTATTCAACCAGTCACCGTCAGACCCGACGGCAAAAAGGGGTTTGTGTCCCCAGGCTACTGGTCAAGCTGCCGGCTAGCCGTCTTACACGCTCCAGATGGCTTCAGGCTCCGCAGGTGCGCGGAACTTGGGTGTTCCGCATTTCGACCCTAGCACGTCCGCGCGCAGCAGGCGGAGACATCCGCGGGAAGGGACGGGGTTGGAGTGCGAGAAGGGGATTTCGTCCCGCGGGAGGTCCCACGTCACGCTGCGCGCGCGGCGGTGAAAAGCCCGCGGATCCGGGCCGGTGGCGCGCCTCGGCGTGCCGCAGCGCGAGCCGAGAAGATCGCATCGCGCCAGCTTCATCAAGCGGCCGGTGCCGGAAGCGGGGCAGCTTCTGGGAAACTTCCCGGAGGGAAATGGCGCCGCGCCGTCGATACAGGATTGCGAACGCGCCGTCGTCTCGTGCGAAGCGGGGCCGCTGCTTGGGGAAAGATTTTCCCCGCCGCGAGCGCAAAACTCGGAGGGAGACGTATACGACCGCGCGGCTGCTGGGACGTGATAGGTTGCCGCTGAGGCCGCGGGTTGGCACGTGACGGAACGGACGGCGAACGGGCGCGGGGAGGAACTGGCGGAAGCGGCGGAAGCGGCGGAAGCTGCGGAAGTGTGGCGGAAGAGGAAACGGGGAGTGCCGCAGCGGGAGCCGAGCAACAGGCGGCGCTGTTCCTGCAGCGACGGCGAGGAGTGATGCTCCTCGGGGAAGTCGGAGATGCAGTCCGGTGGAGATGGAATGGCGACCGCGAGATGTCGCTCCTCCGCCCACTCGCGCAGCCGCGGACAGAGAGCCGTCAGATTCGGGGCGTGGCACGCCATCATCGGACGGTCGGTGCGAGGTGGATTGGAGCCGCGACGGGACGAACGGAAAAGCTAGTCAGAATTCGACGACAGAGAGCGACGGAGGGATGTTATGGCTAGAAAATGCAGGAAAACCTGCCTTTGAATAAGGAGGACGGAAAGTATCGCTAGGCTCTCTAATCCTTGCACCTGCGGATCGCAAAATCCGAGCTACTAGCTGACCAATCGCGGATGGTCCCTTGCTGACCGACTAAGGACCGCCCGCCGCCTTTCACTAACTCCATGGCCTACCGAATCCGCGCAGTAGCGTAGCGTGTGATCGCTGGTATGACAGCGCGGCAAGGGACCTCGTATAAAAACGCGCCACGCCATCGCTGCCAGCGGCATCTTGCGCCAGATGCAATCTGGAAATGAGCTTTAGGATAAATGAAAAAGCTAGCCATGGCGTGCTATTGTGTGAAAGTGAGCAGATCAAACGAAAAAACACTAGCCAACCCACCGTTTTTCACGGTGTAATCTTTTTGCCAAGCAAGACAGTGTGGAGCCAGGGTGTTCATTTTCCTGAACGATTTGAAAAGTGGGATGGTACAGTTTAGTACAGATTCTGGTTACTGGACGAAAACAGCTATCATCAAACCATGCATCGCACAGATACGAAACCAGAGTGGGGCAATCAGTCCCACAGGGAGACCAGTGGGAAGCAAAAGATCCGTCTCACACAATTTCGTCATTCTCGTCACTCGTTAACCAATCAGGGTTCTGCTCCACAAAATTGTTCTGCTGCTCAATAACCTCGGGCAGAATTGTAGTTTCATAAAAAGCTATCGTGCTGGAGCCTGAAAGCTGGAAATTGTTCATACACGCCAACACGCAACAAACCCGAAGCCACAGTTCAGGCCCTCGGGCGGTGGACGCATACTTTCCACCCTGACAATCAGATTTTGCCAGGCGGGAAGCATGTGATTCCATATCCACCGTCCCACCCGCCCGCCCATATGATCCTTCGCTGGTTCTCACCCTATCGAAAATCCTGCCCAGACAGGTGAATCGGAACGGAAAATGAAATCCTGGCTTGGTCGCGTGACTGGTGCAAAACTGCTGACTACAGAGTCCATTTCGTTACGCTAATGTAATGGTAAGGCACTGTATATACTTAAGGCAGTGATAAATTGGAGCTGGGTTTAAGCATTTCATGCTGATGAATATGAATTCACCTTGATTTCATCAAATCATGCATCCATCCAGTAACGCCCACATAATTAGGCAGTGTCGCACAGATATGGTACCAAACATATCCGGTTCAGCTTCACTCTCAGGACCTGGTCCAATTCGTTCAGTCTATTGTCCATAACACACCAGGTAACCTTCCTTGGGATTCCCAACCGCACGGCTCACCAAACCCCCGTCAATACACCACCTAGGATGCAGGAACTTGCACTGGTGGCGACCCAGTTAACACCGGTACAATCCCAGCTGCAGCAGCAGGGAAGTCATCAACAGGGAAGTCAGCAGCAGGGAAGACAGCAGCAGGGCGGGCAGAGAGTCTGCGCCTGAGGTTGTCCAGTGAGGCTGCAACGGCCTGTGTGTCCCGCCGCAACCTCTGCAGGGTGACCAACACATCCCCACTGCCCTCCTTGCCCTCCTTTCCCTCCTTGCCACCTCCCCTACCCTCCTTGCTGCCCCCAATGTCGTCCTTGCCACCTGTCCTGTTGCCACTGCTGCAGGGTGCAACCCAAGTGGTACCCACGCTGCTGTGACCAGCAGCTCCTCCGCTGCTGCTCGCTCTCGTGCTGCTGATCGGGGAATCTGCACCTGGACTGCGTCTCACCGAGGCTTGCCCAGAGGCTGAACAAATTTCTGAAGAGGCCGGGGCACTTGCAGTGGAGGAAGAGAGGTGGTTCGATGAAGAGACGGGCACCGGGGTGGCTGCTGCATCTGCTGCTGCCACTGCTGCTGCCGCTGCTGCCTCAACTGCTGCACCAGCTGCACTCATCCCTTCAGCTGCAGCGCCTGAGTCCTCTCTACAGCAACGAGCATCATCAGCAGAACATTTACCCACCTTGGACAATTGAGCCGATTGAGCTTCAAAAGAGCCGCATGTAACACCAGAGCCCTCTGCACCGCCAGGCACAGAGCTCGCACTCACTCTGCCCGCCTCACTTTCAGTATCCTTCTTGCCTGCGCCATCCGCCTCGCCTGCTCCACCCGCTTCATCTGCTCCTTCCGGTCGGACAGAGCATTCCTCAGCGCGCACCGAAGCCTTCCTCAGCACCGACCTCGACCGCTCCAGAACCTTTCGGGCAGCTTCCGTGGCAGCAGCAGCGGCAGCCATGGCGTCAGCTGCAGCCCTGCCTGATGTGGTGGCGCGGAAAGAGGTGTGCAGGTCTCCTGTGCACGCAGCACCACTTAGGGTCGCACCACTCCCCACTGCTGCTCGCACCCCTTCCTTGTCACCCTCCCTTTCCACCTGCCTGCCGCTATTCCCGTGGCCGTGCACGTCTGGGGAGGAGAGGGTGACCTCAACTGCTTCACTGCCCTGCTCCTCTGCCCGTTTCTCTGCCCGTTTCTCTGCTTGTTTCTCTGCTTGATTCTCTGCCTGTTTCTCTGCCTGTTTCTCCGCCGTTTTATCTTCTAGCTTCTCCCTGCCCTCTTTCCGAACCTCTGTTTGCGCCTCCCTGTCCTCCTGTGCTCCGCTGCTGCCACTCCAATTACTGCCCTCCCTCCTGCCTTTGCCCTCACTTTCCACGTCAGCATCATCCACGAGATCTGCCAGCTGCTCCCATATCGAGTCACCCACAAGATCCGGATTCTCCTCAGGTATACCTGTCTGGTCACAGGACGGCTCCCCATATGTGTGACCCTGCAAGGCTGGGGGGGCTGGAGCAGCATCACTCACAGTCCCATCACTCTTCTCATCCCCATGCATTCCCTTCGCTACATCCGTCTCTTCCTCACCCTCTTGCTCTCCCTCCCCCTCCGCCTCCCTTTCCGCCTGCTGCTCTTGCTCCTGCTGCTCCTCCTGCTCTTGCTGCTGCGCTTGCTGCTGCTCCTCTCGCTCCTCTCGCTCCTCCTGCTCCTCCCGCTCCTGTTGCTCCTGCTGCTGTGCCTGCTGCTGCACCTTAGCTTGTTCAAAGTCGCGAAGCCACTGCTCCTTCTTCTCCTCCCACTCTCGCTCCAAAGACACCACTCGCGCCTTGGCTTGCTCTCTCAGCTCCTGCAGCCGCCCCGCCTCGTTGCCCGCCCAACTCGCCCTGATAGGAGGGGTGACAGCACAAAGACGTTGAGGGAAAGGACAGGGGGGAAGAGGGAAGGAAGGTGGGGATGGGACGAGGGGAAGTCATGAGGCAGATTAGAACCTGCTCTGTCTCTTCCTCCCCTCTCCCCTTCTTTTCCTTCCCTCTCTCACTTTCCTCTTCTCCCCCTCTCTTCTCCTACTCTCCTCCCTCATCCCACTCCCTGTCCTTCTCCACTCTCCACCCCCCTCCTTTCCCAGCAACACGGGTCAAGCCAGTAGCCACATTTGGCCCAAACCCTAAATCACACCCAACACAGAACCCATACAATTTGAAGCACATCCATCCGCACACATCACACATACCCTGAAGCAGCCTGCTGGTGAAGGTTCGGCGCACTGCCACGCCCCCCCTGCTGCTTCTGATACTGCTGCTGCTGCTGGTACTGATGTTGCTGTTGCTGATACTGGTGCTGCCCCCCACTGCCCCGGGCAGCCGAAAAAGAGTGCATTGGGGATGTTCCCGCCACTGTATTCCGGGCAAAAGACGAGTAGCTACTGCTCCGATTGGGCACGTTACGGAAACTACCCGTGGGCGAGAGGTACGAGGCGTACCCCTGAGACGCTCTGAACCCCCCTGCACCCCTCTGCACCCCCATGGCTCTTCCTCCCGCGGGTGCAGAGCAAGGGCAGGGGGGGAGGCGGGAGCGTAGGGAATCGAACACGGCTCGCTTGTTGCTGTCTGTCAGTATTGTGTGCGCCTGGGGGAGCGGATGCGGGAGGGGGAGGGGGAGGGGGGGGGTTGGCGAGATAACAGCAGGGAAAGTGGAGGAGTGGGTGGGCAGAAGTGGCATTGGAGGAAAAGGCGTGGGAAGAGAGCACAGGGTAGGGGAAGGGTGAGCAGAAGGAGGAGGGAAACGCGCTGAAAAGGTCACCGTAGAGGCGGTGCAATGGGGGTCTTCTTATGCGAGTCTCGTTATAAGACTCACCTCCTTGACATAGCGGAACGCTGCTTCAGCCTTCTGCGACTTGTTCTTGTCCGGATGCAGCAGGAGCGCTGAGAGGGAGGAAAGGAAAGCGCAAGAGAGAAGAGGGGGAGAAAAGAGAGGGAGAAGAAAGGAGGAGAAACGAGGAGGAAAATAAGCGAGGGAAGATCAGGAACGAGGAGGGGGGATCAAATGTCAAAACCAGAGAAATTAACTCACGGCCGCAGGACGATCTAATCTCGACGAATCCACGGTTTCAGTCCTAGTCACAGGCTTGGTCTCAGTCCTGTCCCAGTCCCTGGCAGGCACGCAGTAACAGTGACGTCCAACGTGCGAGGCAGTGCGAGTGCGCTGCGGGAACGCACCTAGCTGTCGGTATCGCTTCTTGATTCCGGCTTCGTCCGTTCGCGCATCCACCTGAGGGACGGAAAGATCGAGCAGCGACCATGCCAGGATGCCAAGGAGGTGTAAGGTGGAATTGCAACGCAAGCCCTGCTCTTGAGACGTCTCCAAACACCCTCGTGCGGTCAACATGCCAAGCCTAACGGCGTGCTTCGACGAACGTAACCGACGAGCGAGATAGACAAGCGAAATTGGCGAACGCAATCGACGATCGTAATTGACGAGCGAAATCGACTAACGAACGTGCATACCTGGAGCACGCCGAACCAGTCCACGTAATCCTTGGGAAGCGGACCAATGGGACGGCGACACCTCGGACACTCGGGCGTGTAGCCGACAGCGGCGAGAACCTGAGCCACGGCGAGCAGCTCAGCCAATCCCTTGGCGCCAGGTGTCGTCCGCTCAAGATTCACGAGTAGCGCGAGTGCGTTGTCTGCACGGGATTGTACTAGTAACGATTCTGCTTGTACGAGGACAGCCGCGGCTGCCTCCTGCTCACGTCGAGAGGCCATTTGCGAAAAATACGAGTTTGCACTGCCACTGGCGTCGGGTGCACAAGGATATCGAATTTTGCTCCTAGAGCTGCTACTGACGCTGGTCGTAACAGCGGCCGAAAGGCTGTGGAAAGAAAAAACGTGAAGGGATACGCGCTATTGCACGCAACACTTTCGAGAACTTTACCAGTGAAGCCAGGCTCGGCGGATGTTGAAACCACCTCCATGCTCAGCCACCTGCCTGCCAAGCCATCAAAGTTTCGATACCCGAACCGAGCCGTCGGCTTGGAGGGTTCCAGAGGTGAGGTGAGTGAGAGTGGCTAGGGAAAGCAGGGGGTTCGGCGATGCCGAGGCAAACTTGACACTCTGGCAAAGCGATGCGGGAAAGTGGGTGAAACTGGCATATTTTCGTTTTTGTTACGGGTGCAATGAATCTAGGTAGCGAGGATTGCACTAGAGTGTTCAACGAGTACAAAGTATGAGCCAAGGCATGAGCGAATACTTATACGTGAAACATGCAAACGGTAACGCGGTGCGTGCGAACTAGCTAGTGCTACGCTAGCGCGAGGTTCGGGCTAGTCCCGAAGCGTAGGCCGACTCGGCTGCTCTAGCAGTGCGAGGTTTGGTGAAACAGTGCGCGCGAAGTTGGCGAAACCCCGTTTGCAGTAACGGGCGAACAACGGTTGCGGCTGTACGCGATGTTGATGGTCGCAGTAAGGAATAGCGAGAAATTCCCTTACACTACCCCCCTCCTTAAGAAGCCCCCTCCGCTACGCGAGTGCGTGTGTATCGCGGAAACCCCGGCTCCTCAAGTACACTTGCAGTGCAAGGTGGTTGTTATCCTCAGTTGGTGTGCGGTCCTTCCAGCGAACGAGAAACTCGATTCTCTTGATGCCTGTGGGGTGTCGAATCCGATGGATCAGAATCTTTTCGGGCTCAATGATCAGCTCCGATGCAGGGCGAGTCATAGATGGCGGGCAGTGATGAGGCAGCTGGCTCGTGGTTGGGATGTAGGGGCGAAGCAGGCTGACGTGGAACGATGGGCTGATGTACCAGTCTGTCGGTAACAGTGAATGGGCGGTAACTGGGGCGATCATGTGGCTGATTTGGAATGGTCCACAATAGCGGGGTCGTAATTTCGGTACGACGGGCAGTCTTAAGTTCTGTGTGTCGAGCAGTACGTAATCTCCTGACTAATACGTGACTGGGCGGCGGTGGCGGTCAGCGTTGTGTTTAGCGATGACGTTGGCTTTTTTAATTGCTTATGCGGCCCTGGTGCGGGAAGCTTGCAGAATCTCGGCGAATTGTGTCATAATCCCAACCACTAGACCATTGGGATAAAAGGGCTTGTTAAGTAGCGGGTCAGTGCGCCCATAACCTCCTAGGACAAGGAGCATGTAACCCTTCCCTAGGATCAATCGGGGATCACCAGTGGACCTCTGACACCCCCTCGCACTGGGATGCCCGAAGTGCATACACTGAGATTCGAACCCGAGACCTCCGCTCTGATACCATGTCAGAATCCCAACCACTAGACCATTGGGACAAAATGGCTTGTTTGTGTAGCGGGTTTGTGCGCCCATAACCCCCCAGGCGAACGCGCTTGTAACCCCCCTAGGATCAATCGTGCATCCACAGTGCAGATCTACTGACACCCCCCCACACTGGGAGGCCCAGGACTGAGCACAGAGGCAACGGCCTACATGTGCATACACCGGGATTCGAACCCGAGATCGCTCTGATACCATGTCAGAATCCCAACCATTAGACCATTGGGATAAAAGGGCTTGTTAAGTAGCGGGTCAGTGGGCCCATAACCCCCCAGGACAACAAGCCTGTAACTCTTCCCTATGATCAATCGAGGATCACCAGTGGACCTCTGACAAATTGTTGTACTCGTAGCGTTGGGTTGTCCGGACTCGGCGTCATGAATACTGTTGGATTTTGCCCGTAGTTCAGGTAAAATGGGGACTGTTGCGTCGTCGCTGGCGTGGCGTTGTTGTAGGCGAACTCGATCAGCGGCAGCTACTGCTCCCAAGTTGTCAGGTCGTCGCACGTGGCACGAATCAACTGCTCCATTGTTGATTCGTCCGCTCCGTTTGACCGTCGATCTCGGGGTGGTACGACGAGCTGAACTGTAGCCTGGTCCTGAACTGCTCCCAGAGGTTCCTCCAGAAGTTGCTGGTAAACTTCGTATCGCGGTCGCTGATGATTGCGGCTGGTATCCCGTGCAGTCGAACAACGGTTGCGATGAACAGGCGAGCGGTTTCTTCAGCTGAGATCGATTTCCTGCACGCAGCGAAGTGAGCCATTTTCGTCAGTCTGTCAACGACGACCATTACCGCGTCATTACCCCCAGGGTTCGAAGGTAACCCTGTCACGAAATCCATGGTATCCTCCTGCCAGGCGCGCTCGGGCGGTGGAATCGGCTGTAACTGACCCGCCTTTCTTTTTCGCGAGATCATCATCACCTGACACGTAGGACACGAGCCCACGTGGTGCTGTACTTCGGTCAACAGCTCCGGCCAGTAGTAGCAGTTGCTGTCACGTTTTTTCTACCCCGAAGTGACCCGAGGTAACCCGGTCGTGTGCCTCCTGCAGTAACACTCCCCTCAGTAGTGAGTATGCGGGTACCCAAATGCGGTTGGTGCCTCTCTTTACGTAATAGACTCCTTTAGCTTCTGCCAGTTGCTGTGAATTTCCGGTCGTGAAAAATGGGTCGGTACTGTATCTGTGGGTGAATAGGCCTGTTAACAGTGGGTTGGTCTGGGCGAGTAGGATGGAGTGAAGTTGGGCTGTAGGACGGGTGAGTGCGTCGGCGATATTTGATGCGCCTTTTTTGTACGTGACGGTGTAGGGGAAGTTGGACTCCAGATAGTCCAACCAGCGAATCTGTCGCGGATTGAGGTTCGGTTCGGCGCGAAGGTACTGTAGTGCACGATGGTCTCTCCGTACTGTCACGTTGTCTCCTGTTAGGTAGCACCGCCACACCTTGAACGCGTGCACGATCGCCAGCATCTCGCGGTCGTGTATCGGGTAGTTGCGTTCGGGCAGGTGAAGTTTGCGGGACTCGTACGCGATTGGCTGAAGGCCGTTCCCGAAGTCCTGCAACAGTACTGCTCCCACAGCGATGTCACTTGCGTCGGTGACGAGCTCGAACGGACGGTGAGGATCTGCGATCCGAAGCACGGGCGGTGAGCACAAAATTTGTTTGAGGGCCGAGAAGGCAGCTTGCTCTTTCTCCCCCCACGTGTACTCAACCCCCTTCCGCAGCAGGCCAGTCAACGAAGCAGTCAACTTTGCCATGTCGGGCACGAACCGGTGCACGTAGTTGACGAACCCCAAAAAACTCTGCAGCTCAGCCAAATTTGTCGGCGCGTGCCATGCTTGAATTGTCGCGATCTTTTTCGGGTCTATTTCCACTCCGTCGGCTGAAATAACGTGCCCTAAAAACTCCAGTCTGTCCTATAGAAACTCACACTTAGAGGCTTTTGTCAGTAGGCTGTTCTCACTCAGTATTTTAAAAACTGCTTCAATGTCCTGTAGGTGCTGTGCTCGGACTGTGCTGGAGGCGTTGGTCAGTCCGAAGGGCATGACGGTGTGTTCGAAGGATCCGTAGCGTGTTCGGAAAGCTCTTGTCAGGCAGTCGGGTGGGTTGACGCGGATTTGGTGGTAATCTCCTCGAAGGTCGATTTTCGAGAAAACCCGGGCTGTGCGCAGTTGGTCGATCAGTTCGTCGGCTCGCGGGATGGGGTAACGGGACTTGATGGTAACCCTGTTCATTGCGCGGTAATCTATGCACATGCGAAATCCCCCGTCTTTTTTCGGTGTGAACAGTATCGGTGCTGCGAAGGGTGACGAACTCGGGCGAATGAACTCCTTCTCGAGCAGGTAATCCAGCTGCTTCCGCAGTTCATCTAGTTCGGGTTGGGTCAGTCGGAACTGTCGTTGTACTGTCGGCTGTGACCCCGGTTCTAATTATATCCTGTGGTCGTGCGGTCGTTGAGGTGGCAGTCCTGTCGGCAGGTCATCTGGAAAAATCCCACTGTATTGCTTCAGTAGCGATGTCAAGTCATCCGGTACGTCAGCTAGCAGTTTCTGTAAATCCCCCCCTTTGTCTGCTGCCTCAGCTTCCCGAATGTCGACCGCGTACACGTCAGCTCCTGCTGCTACAGCGCGTTTCACCGTGATTGCGTTGACACGCACCGACGAAGACTCAGGCGAGCCCCAGCGAGTACTTATGCGCGAAACATGCAAACGATAACGCAGTGCGTGCGAGCTAGCTAGTGCTACGCTGGCGCGAGGTTCGGGCTAGTCCCGAAGCGTAGGCCGACTCGGCTGCTCAAGCAGTGCGAGGTTTGGTGAAACAGTGCACGCGAAGTTGGCGAAGCCCCATTTGCAGTAACGGGCGAACAACGGTTGCGGCTGTACGTGATGTTGATGGTCGCAGTAAGGAATAGCGAGAAATTTCCTTACAGTTATGAACAAGAATATCGTGAAAATGAAATTCATCATACCCGCTATAACGGGTCATGGGTAGCTTGGATAAAATCAATAGGTAGCAAATGACTGAGTTGAGACTACAGGATGGGCCATAGAATGATTGCACTACTTTTCCACATTCACAACTTTCCCGATTGTGAGATTTCAAGAAGCACGTGATGTAGGAACTACTTGCATGACGAACTTTAATGGGAAAACAGTTAGCATCGGTAACATTTGAAGCCAATATTCAAATCCAAAGGTCCTAAGCATTTGAGCATATCTGCTTAAAAGAGGTGCAATTTCCCCATCATAATCATCCTTTCACCGGTTGTTGCTCATTCCCACCCTAACACTCTTCCTCGTCCCTTAACAAGCCCATTGAACCAACACACTCTCGCTCATCGTACCATAACTACCAAACCCACCCAGCCTCATTCCACCCTACTCTACCCAACCAACTCTACCTGATCCCATCCTACCTTACACAACCCACCCTGCCGAATCCCACCCTACAATAACCAACTCAATTTGCC